AAGACCCTTTGTATTGACAGGTTAAATGTTTAGGCACGCAGGGGAAGCGGCGATGTAGAGCGAGGACCTTCAGACGGCACGTTGCAGAGATGGTGCATCCTGTCACTGGCACGTCAAAGGCGAACTGTTCCAGGTCTGGTCTTTTGTTGGGCGCTCATGTGAAATTGATTCAAAAGCGATAGAATCTTTGCACATATAAACAGCGAAGAGAGATGGAGAGCGTGTGTCCAAACAAACCCGACTGGCAGAACATGCAGTGCTGCTGAGAGGAAGCTGCTGGCTATCCATCACACCTTGAAAGATGAACAGGGCGGGCCTACGTTTCCCTTCAAAGGCAGGAAAGCTTAGCACTCTGGGAAAATGGACCCCAATGGGAGCTTCTAACCCACGGTGCTGCCCTTCCGGCTCGTAGGTCGTTATTAACTATTCTCACCGTAAATGGCGATGACATATAATCTCTTTCCTAATTTCATTATTTTACTTGGTATCACAAGACCATAACTTTTAGACATTCAGGTGAGATTAAGGGAGGAGGAGGAGGTGGAAGCAGGCTTTTAAAATCTTTGATTACCTCAGAAAACATATTTGCTTACTTTACCAGGAAGCTGGTGTTTTCTTTTGTTTTGTTTTCTACTGATGCCAAGAGGGGATTAATGAGTAGCCGCTGGGTTTGCCAGCTTTCTTTTGATTTCAGTTTATGTAATTAGGCAGTTCCCAGAATGACTTGAGGTTCTCACTCTGTGTCAAAACACGCTTCTCAGATGTGTTAGGTGTGGAGGTCAGAAACAGCCAACTCACCGAATGGAGGGAAGGGGAGTGAAAAACTTATCTTGCTTTAAAAAAAATTCCTGACGCTGTAGAAAGGGCTGATTATGTTTCGTGGCTTGCAGCTTAAAACTAAATTTTGAAATGGGCTCAAGTTAGCCCTGGCCAGTGTGGCTCAGTTGGTTGGAGAATTGTCCCGTACACCAAAAGGACACAGGTTTTATTCCCAGTTAGGACACATATCCAGTTTGTGGGTTCATTCCGCATTGAAGGAATGTGCAGGAGACAACCAATCAATGTTTCACTCTCACATGGATGTTTCTCTCTCTCTCCCTCCCTCCCTCCTCCCTTGCCCTATTCCTTCCTCTCTAATTTAAAATTTTTTAAATGGGCTCAAGTTAAAATAGCTTAAAATGAGGTTACAAAGAGAAGTAACACAGGGAAATCAACTCTGGTTTACTGTTGAATTTCCAGCATCTAGAGCAAACATGTCAAATTCGCGGCCTGCGGGCCACATGCCTTATTTATTTGGCCCATGTTAGCCTTGGAGTTTGACATGCTTGATCTAGAGCAGGGATCCTCAAACTTTTTAAGCAGGGGGCCAGTTCACTGTCCCTCAGACCATTGGAGGGCCAGACTATAGTTTAAAAAAAAACTATGAACAAATTCCTATGCACACTGCACATATCTTATTTTGAAGTAAAAAAACAAAACGGGAACAAATACAATATTTGTATTTGCATGTGGTCCGTGGGCCATAGTTTGAGGACCCCTGTTCTAGAGCCTTGTCCATGGTGAGTATTCAATCACTCATGCATTCTACAAAGATATACTAAGAGCCCCCCCTGTGCTAGTTCTAGTTGCAGGAGAGTCAGTAAGGATCTGCACCTCCTGAGGCTCATAAGGAGTGAGCAGATTTTATCGAGTGCCTCTCTAGGTACGGAGTTCAGAGCCAGTGATGATGGAGGAAGAATAAGATGTGTCCTGAAGGAACTGAGCAACTCACGGGAAGTGAGGAAATCTGCCCACAAAACAAAAGTGCTGTTCAGAGCTGTAATTGAGTCATGGGTGCTGACACAGACAGACCCCATGGGGGTGAAAGTCCAAGTGGGCACCATCTCCGTCTCTGGATTCTGCAGGCAGGAGGCTCACTGCAGTGGCTGCCTTGGCTTTAACTTCATAAGCAGTGAGAACTTGCAGATACAAATATCAGAACACCCTTTGGTTCATGCTCTCTCTTACAGTTAGCTCTCTAACTTTATTTATTCTTCTACCCACACAATGCTTGTTTTTAAAGGAAATTATGGCAGTTTTTCTTTTGGGTTAGGCTAATTGCCTTAAAAAAAAAAAAGAATAACCCACAGTTCCTGCCTTCATTAAGAATACAGAGTACCAGGGGAGAAATACATAAATCAGTTAAACAAATAAAACTTCCACTGTGCTTAATGCTGCAATAAGAACATAGTGTACATTAGGGGGAGAAATCAGGGACAGCTTCCTAGAAGGAAAGATGACTGCACTTAAATCTGGAGGATGAGGAGAGATTGACCAGGTGAAGAGAGAGAGGGAATCATTCCAAGCAGAGGGAACAGTATGAGCAAAGGCCCTGTGGCAGGAGGGAGTTTGCTACTGGGGCAGAGGGAACAAGAGACAGCTGGAAGTGATATGACTCAGGAGGTAGGTAGGATCAGACCATATGGGATGCATAGCATATTAAGGAGCTTTCTATTCATCCCAATATAATTCTTTAAAAGAATTAATCAGAAGAATGAGAGGAGGAAGGGTGAAGGTTTACAATTGGCATTTCATTTCAGCAGGATACTCTGTCTGTAGTGTGATCAGCATTTGCTGCGGCGGGGGGGGGGGCAATGTAGAGAGCATTAGTAAAAAGGCACTCGCAAAAATCTAGACAAGGGATGATAATTACTTGGGCCATAATGGTGGCCATGAGGGTGGTGGAGATGGGCGGAAGTAGACAAATATGACAAGTTCAAAGCAATAAGTACAAAGATACAATAGGTAAATGCAACAGGGCTTGGTGATGGATGTGAGAGATGAGGGAAAGGGAGGTATTAAGAATGAATTTCTGGTTTCTGACTTTCACAACTGGCTGAGTGGTGATGACCTGCCCTGAGACAGGCACCCTGGATGAGGACCATTTTGCTGGAGGAAGATTATGAAGTCGGTTTGGAACGTGTTGGGTTTGAGTGCCTTTGAGGCACCTAGAGGGAGTAGCAGAAATGCAGTTGGTTAAATGGGTCTGCAGCTTGGAGGAGAGGTCTAGGATGGAGGCAGACCTTTGTGAGTTCTCTCTAAGTCAAGGTGCATTGGACACTGTGAGTGTGGATGACATCACATAGTGAGTACAGAGTGAGCAAAGGGGAGGGTCTAGAACCCAGTCCTGTGGGAATCCAATACCTAATGCTGGGAGAGGAGAAGCTTAAGAGGAAGCAGAAAAAATCCCTGCCAGAAATACAGGGGGAAACAGTCTTAAAGCCAAGGGAACAAGTGTTTGTTGGAAGAGACAGTGATCAGGGAGAAACGCTGGTGAAAGGACAGGAAAAATGAAGACTTAATAATGATAATAATAACAGCTGTAATACCTTCAGAAACAACAGCACTCGACAATCTTCGTGGAGCACCAATTATGAGCCAGGCATTTTAACCTATAATTTAATCCTCATAAGAAGCCTGTAAGGCAGGTCCTATTACCCTCCTCATTTTTACAGAGGAGAACACTGAGCACAGAGGGATGAAGTCATTAGCCTGCGGTCACTCTACCAGTCAGTGATGAAATTGGGGTGGGAGCTCTTCCTCCCTCACAGCCCCTTTTCTTAAACGCTGTGTGTCCCAGTGTTGGGAGAAAAAAGGCAGCAAGGCAGGGTGCAGGGAGGGCAGGCTTTTCCTCTTTAAATATTTGGATTCTTTCGAACACAGCCGAGGAAATAGTTCATGGTCCCTACAGCCCGAGTCCAAGTTGGCGACCCTGGAATGGCGTTGCAGTGGCTGTTCATGATGGCGTGGTTCAGCGACATCAGGGCTGTGCTTGCCATGTGAGGGGCTAGCGCAAGTGCTTCGGGGCAGTGGTTCTCAAAACTGGGGTCCCTGGACCGGCAGCATCAACATCATCAACTGGGAACGAGGCGATGCAGGTTCCCAGGCTCCATCCCCGATCTTCTGAGTCAGGAGTAGAACCAGGAATCCATGTTCTAACACACCTCTGTTTGATGCTGATGCACAAGTTTAAGAATCCTTGTTCTTGGGGATCCTTGAAAAGGAAAACTCCAATGACTTAGAATCCATATACCTCACAGATGCAGAACACCTTGGCAGAGGCCAGATGGAGGAGCCAGTGGTTCTCAGCCCTGGATGCTCATTGGAATCACGTGGGGAGCTTTACAAACTACTGATGCCTGAGTCCTCCCCTCGACAGTCTGGTTTCATGGGGCTGGGGTTGTCCTGGGCATTCGGTTTTTGACATGAGGATTTGCATGGGGAATGGATGATTGAATGAATGGTCGGCAAGGCAGCCTCTGTACTTCAGAGTACAAAATTGTACTCTGGGGAGAAAGCAGGTCTTGAAGGGGAAGGGCAGGGCAAGTGGAAGAGAAGCTAGACATTGAGCCCTTTGTGCATAGCAGTAAAGCCTGGAAAATTCTGGAGAATGTGGAGCAGGAGAAGGTCGTCTGAATTTGTAACAATTCTTAACAACGAACTTAATTTCAAAGAGATGCCAATAATCAAGTAGATGCGCTATCTCTCATGAAGTATCATTGTGAGTTTTGCTCTGTCTTACTGGAAGTGAGTCTATGAATTTTGACTGGAAACAATATGCTGACATTCTCCTGGCGGCTTCATTTAGGACTCAGTCTCTATGTTAAGAAGGTACTCTGCTGCTCTGACGTCTCAAACATCACCATTTCCCCTTTGCTCCATGAACCTTCCACCCCAGCTGACCTGCTCAGTTTACCTGTCACTAAGCATTCCCACATCCAGGCATTTGTTCGTGTCCTCACCCCCCGCCCTCCTCCCACACACATACACACACCTCCCCCTTCTCTCCCGGCCTTGCCCCATGTAAAATCCTACTGCCCCTCTCTTCTGCCCTGCCCCCCATTCAGAGAGCTCCCCCTTTTTCTAATTCAGCACCCAGTGTCTTGAAGGCGCCCAGTATGCCGGCCTGTGTGGGCAGCGGCAGTGGAACCAGCCAAATGACATTTTCTCCTTCCTTTCAGGACCGCCTCTTTTTCGTCATGGAGTATGTCAATGGTGGAGACCTCATGTTCCAGATTCAGCGCTCCCGAAAATTCGACGAGCCTCGCTCCCGGTTCTATGCTGCAGAGGTTACGTCAGCCCTCATGTTCCTCCACCAGCATGGAGTCATCTACAGGTAGCTCTTCTTTCCTCCTCTCTTTCCTAAAAGTGAAAAAGTAAAGCGTTCTCCAGACACTGGAGCTGACTTGGCTCTTGCCCAACTGGTCTCTTAGTGACCTGCTTGAGATCAGTTGTTTTAATTTGCTTACAGAGGACTTGGGGGGCGGGGGAGGAGGGCGGCTGTTTATCACTGTGAATGTTAATATTTGAATAGCCCCAGGAGACACCCTGCTTGTGCCAGTTTTGATTGAAAGCCCAAGAACGACATTTTAAAGGCCTGGCGCCCAACGACCTTGGGGTGACCTTCATTTCTTTCTCTCCCCACCCTCTTCCTTCAACATCAGGGCATTCTCTTTACTTTTTCCTTCTGTGCCATGAACTTCCTCCCCTTCCCAACCTCTTGTCGCTTCCTGAGTTTGTTTGGCTTAGTTGTCTCCAGCAGATAGAATCAGAGAAGGAGGAGTTGCTTGGGGGTCCAGGGTTTATGATCCCGGCCGAGCAGGGGAAGGGAACTAGACAATATCCAACAGGAAGTGACTCTTTGCAGATCCTCTAGTCCCTTATTACTGCCCTGTCCCCAGCCCAAGAAAACATAACACACACACACACACACACACACACACACACACACACACACACACACTTTCCAGTAAGGCAGCAGGACTGTTTACGCAGGCTCTTCTGTGAGGTCAGGAATTCTGGGAGGAGTAAATATTTATAATTAGCAACAAGGACGCTAAAGTTCCTTAAAATTTTTTCAGTGACTGTCAATTTCTTGGTTTTTGCTTTCTCCCCCTCTTTTGTATTTTATGTTAATGGGGTAGATTCGCTGGCTTGGTTCATCCCAGAACTTAGTCCCTCACAAGATCTTTACTGGTCAGTAAAACTCCCAGTCCTGGGAGCCATGCCCTGACTAAAATGTTCGTAAAGGGCTCCTGACCAACTTCTACCGCAGGCTTCGCTTCCTGCTGATATCTCGCAGCTTCCTCAAGGGTGAGTCTCTGCTCAGAAATATTCAGTGGTTCCCAATGCATTGCATAATAAAGCCCATACTGTCTAGCCTGCTGTTCATGGCCCTCCACGTTGCGAGGTCATTACTTGTTTCCTAGTGATGTGTGACAAACTTCCAGTCTAGAAATCAATGGAAAAATATCCTTGAGTGAGGACTTAAAGAAAAATAAAAGGAATCGCTTGATGAGTAGATTGGGCCTATCAGGATAATCTTCTCATTTAACTCAAAGTCAAATGATTAGGAACCATAATAATATCTGCAAAACCCCTTTGCCTCTGCCCTGTAATAGTGAACAACCAAGATGGCGATGTCCCATCACCTTTTCCACATTGTTTTGGTTAGAGGTAAGCCACGGTTTCCACCAAACTCAAGAGGGGGCTTATGGAATTATGCCAGAGTGTGAGCCATCGGAGGTCACCTTAGCTTTTGTCTGCTACAGCTCAATACACCTTTCTTTCTCACTTCCCACAATACCCTTTTTTAAACCCACCAAGGTTCTTAGCTTTCCTCAAACTTATCTGCCATTTCCCAACTTCCCTGTGCATATGGCCCTCCTCTCTACCCTCTCTATCCAGCGTGGATGCCTCCTGCACTACTGCCTGCCTGCACAAGGCCTGGTCGCCCAGCCGGAGTGAGCCTCCCCGCCCACCCCCCCCACTAACCCCCCCCCCCCACCACCACCACCACCACACACACACTTTTATTTGCAATTTGAGGCTTTTGTGGCTGCACCTACCACTGTTCCCCTTGTGCTGGGGTGAGGCATCCATGTGGATTTTTCCACTAAGTTGCAAACTCCTAAGGGCCATTTCTTTTTTATTTTTACCCCTAAATCTTTTTATTTTACACAATTTCCTTGACTTCAATTAGTTTAAAACCCTAATTTCTGCCCCCAAAGCAGGTTACAAGCTAGTTGGAGATACCAGGAGTTAGACAGGTGGAATGATCACCCATACTACAAGGCGGTGCACTGTTAGGTGGCATGACATGAAGAAGAATGGTCATTCTTTGAGATGTCATCCCCAAGCCAGCCCTGTTAGAGTGGGCGGAATCATCCGTAGCTGACCAGCAGGGATTCAGAGGCTCACCTTAAATAATTTGTCCAGGGCCACAGTTGGTAAGTGACAGGCTTAGGAAGTCTAACTGACTGACTGATCAACAAGCTAATGCTGTATCTCCTGCCTTTCCAAGTCCAAGTCCAAACTCCAGCTTGTCATTCCAGGACTTGACTTTCCCTTACATTTCTACTTTTCTCCTCCTTTCCATGTTCCTAAAGGAATGTGTCCCTCTCACCACCCCTGTGAACACTTTTGCTCTATTGTCTTCTACGAACCATACTTTCTCCCTCTCCCATCTCCTTCCCACCTCTCTGACTGGTTCTCCTTGATCTCTATTACCACCTGTCCTGGTTCCTTCTTCCCTCCAACCCCTATTCGATAAATTCTGGTTTTCCCTAGGGCCTTCATCTTGCTTTATTCTTACCCTAAATACTCTCCTCGAGCAATTTCAACATTTGCATGCCTTCAAAGGACTCCTATGTGCCCGTGACTCCCGTATCACGATATCCAAACCCCAGTTGTCTTAGAGCCCTAAACAAGATCTTTCTCTCAAATGTCTCTCTCAAGACTTGACCTTCAAGGCCTTCTTCCTTCTTCCCTGGCTAGTTTGCAATCGTTTATAGACTTGACTCACTGCTTCTTGGTTTTCTGCCCGTCTATCTATCCCTCTCCCCTCTGTTGTTGCCCAGTAGTCTTTCAAAGCGCAGGCTGATTGTCCCATGTTCCCTTCCTTGCATCCTGCAACCCTTATAAGATAAAGCACTGACCCCTTCACTGGCTTTGGACTCCCTCCCACCCGACCCTGGGGCTGCTGTGCACAGCTCTGTGGTTTGGACACAGGCAGGACGAGCACAGGCATTGAGTGGGAGGTGGGGCTCTCTGCTGTGTGGCTGGCTTCTGCCCCAGAAAAGGGTGTATTTTCTACCCAGAGGAGATGCCTCTTTGTGTTTCTAACAAAGACACAATATGTGTTAACAAGGCTCTGGTGGTCCACAACAATCCTTTCACTACTTCCCCTAACCGTGCACCCCACCATCTAGGTACTCCAGATTATTTGCCATTCTCCCCCAACTACCATTCTCTTTTACTTTTATGAGCCTTTGTGTCCCTACTGTCCTTGGATTTTCCCTTGCTCCTAATCTGTGTCTTGATCAGTGAGTAGTTCCCAATTAACTTTCGTGGTCTGGCTGCCTCAGAGTTCCCAGTTTAAAAAAATATGTAGATTCCACCCTGGAAGGTGTGGCTCAGTTGGTTGGAGTGTCATGTCATCCCATGCACGAGAAGGTGGCGGGTTCCATTCCCAGTCAAGTCACATGCCAGGCTGAGGGTTCAATCCCTGGTCAAGGAGCATGCAGAAGGCAACCAACAGATATCTCTCTCTCCCTCTCTCCTTCCCTTTCTCCCTCCCTGTCTCTAAAATCAATTAAAAACATGTAGAGTCCCTAATACTGAGGGAGGGGGAATAGAGAAAGAATTGATGATTGCTAACATAGGGTGATGATACATGTGGGCTCACTATTCTACTTTTGTGCATGTTTTAAATTTACCATAATAATAATAACCTTTTAAAAAGAATAGTGATTCCAGGGTAACATTCCTAGAACTTTTGACTCAGTAGGTCCGGTCTGGGGTTCAGGACTCTATTTTTTTAAAAAATAAATTTTTATTGATTTTAGAGAGAGGGAGGGAGAGAGAGAGAGAGAGAGAGAGAGAGAGAGAGAGAGAGAGAGAGAGAGAGAGAGAGAAAGAAACATCTACTGGTTGCCTTCTGCATGGAGATTGAACCTGAAACCAGAGCATGTGCCCTGACTGGGAATTGAACCCATGACCTTCAGTGCACGGGATAGCATTCAACCAACTGAGGCAGACCAGCCAGGACATGACTCTGTTTTTTAAAGCATTCCTCAGGTGATTTAGGGACTGCAGGTCTAAAAAAAATGCCATTATGCCTTCAGGGTTATGTCAAATGCTCCTGCTCTGTGAAGCCTTTCCTGATGACCCAGCCTGTCATGGGAATCATACCGACCTGAGTGACATAACATCTCCCTGTATCAGGCATCTTGCAGGTGCCCTTTGCTGACCTTATATTTTTACATGAAATGCCCTTCTGTGACTGAGAACTCCACACTTGAGTGCTCACCTAGCAGGCCTAGGACAATACCCTGCTTGTAGCAGGTGTTCACTAAATACTTATTCTTCTCATCTCCAGCTCCAGAGCTTTCCACTCCAGTGGGTTGCTACATCATAGGTGTGTACTTCTTGAAAGTCTGTGTTGGAAGCATTCCTAACATACAACACACAGTTTTTTCCCTTGACCCTAAAAGGTCTCCACTTCTTCATATCTTTCCTTTCATTAATTAATGAGGATCATGTGATCTCTATTTCCCATGATGCTTTGCTTTACGCTGTCAGCAGAAAGCTATTCAGGGTAGTTAGTCTGCAGCTGACTGGAGAGGCAGTGTGTGTCCTATTGGCTGTCCTGAAGCTCAGGTAGAGTCCACATTTTGTGTGCTATGGGGCTTTATTTGGAAGATTGGCAGAGCCAGTTATTGGTGGAGAACCTCAGTGCTGAAGTTGATATTGAATTTTCCAGCCTTCCTGCTGAAATTTACACACAAAGTAATTAGCGACTAATTGGCCAGTTTTCAAGAACTAAGAGATGACACTTCTCTGGCCAGAGGCTCACACATGCAGGAGGGCCCACGCTGACAGGCACGGCCCCCTTTCCTCTGGCCCCTCTCTGTGTCAGGCTCCCCATGCCAGGCAGCCAGAGAACACTGTCTCCATGTCCTTTCCCAGCATTCCTTGGATGCCTCTGTGGAGGGAGGCATTAGCTCACCGAGAGGTGGAGGTTTTGAAGGGTGGGCCTTCTTTCCAAAGTTGGTTCAGGGAACTTTCTCCTCCTCTCCAGCATGCTCCGTGCTTGTGCGTTCTTCTCTGAGCTGC